TCCTTTGACTATTGCAACTTTCATATGTTCTCGTTTGAAACCATGTATTTTGTATATTTTTATTTGTATATTTTTCCAATAAAATTGATCATTATAATGTTTCTTTTATGGCATGTAAACAAAATAAATCGATTTTCTCATTTAATTTTTTAATCATCCGTTAAATCAAAAATATGTTATCGAATTATATTATCATATATTATAAAAATATGAATATGAAAGTGAAATAAAGAGTGAAGTTCATGTGATAATAATCTGTAAAAATTATCACGATGATAGAACTAAAAGGATGATGATACATAATGATACTTGAGGTGAAATAAAAAATATAATAGGATCATGCCTAAAAAGGGGATGATAAACGTAAATGATATTAAAGAGCATACAACGGTTGCCATATATCCTCATTGATTCACTCCTACTTTAATTTTCTTATTTCTTACTATTTTTTTCGATTTTCATTTTGTTCTTCTATTACTCCTGTTTTATCCTTTGTTTTCTCCTTCTCTCTTTCCTTTTTCTTCGATTCTTTGAAATGTCTCGAAATTGAAAAAAAAAAAAATAAATAAAAAGACAGAAAGATGTTCGTTTAAAGCATGTATGTGCGATTGACGAACTAACGAGCGAATATACCAAAGGACAATGGAATATTAAGCCTAGCTTAATTACATTGAATGTAGATAGATAGATATTGTAGATTAAAGAAAAAAAAAAAAAAAAAATACAAAAGAAAAAAAAGAAAAATAAAAAGGAAAAAAAAAATGTAAGGATTCGCGATTACAGCGAACTGATAATAATGTGATACATCGTTTACGTCGGAGCTCTTTGAAGCCTTCTATTATCGGAACCGTCATTAAAAGCGTGCGCGCGTACACGAACGCGCCTATAATTGGTACGCTTTACTGCGAGCGAATCAAATTAAAATCCGAATGCGACAAATTACGAGAAAATCGAGTTAACGACGGTACTAGTTCGTCACGACATAGAAATAAGCGAGTTATGATAAATATATCTATGTGTTAGCCTTGTTTCTCATCGATCACCCTTACAATTATCATTTGTTTTGCGAAGAAAATTCCTTTGGTTCTATAAAAGTTTATATTCGAACATGAACATTGCTTTTGACGAGTTCATTTTAATTAGCAGTAAATAGGATCTTTTTTCCAAATTTTTTCCAAATTTTGGCACGTATGAAATTAAGTCATACCTATTATCTAAAAAGAAGAAAGAAGAAAAAGAGAAAGAGAGAAAGAGGGAGAGAGAGACAGAGATAGAAAATAATTATTAACATTTTCCGTTAATTCATATAAAGCCAATTATTAATTTTTATATCTTAAAAAGAAACGAAATAGGAAAAATAATAATTATCACCATCACGTCGATACATTTCATTCGTATTTTTGTAACATATTTTTGTAGATATGTCATTCAAGATTCGTATTTTTGTAGAAAGCTTATTTATCACGAAAAGGATCGTTCTTGAAGAAGCCGAAATTTAAACGAATTTTCGTGACGGTATTTATATAGTGTGCTTGGTCGCAAAAGCCACCCTACCGTCCGCGACATTCGATCGAGACTCCTAAGCATCGGCGCTACTATTTTCGTAGTCAGAAGACTTCGTAAGAAGTTCGGAAAGAAGAGAGAGAAAGAGAAAGAGAGAGAGAAAGAGAGAGAAAGAGAGAGAGAGAGAGAGAGAGAGAGAAAGAGAGAGAACGCGAACGAGACTCTTCGACCCTGACTCAAATTCGAATGAGAGCTAGATGCCCTCGTATAAGCTCGATCCGGTGCATCTCGAGCTTCGTGTAACGGTTTCCAAAATACCACTACGGCTAATGAGATTTTCTCGAATCCGTGCTGTCTTGGGACATCTACTACTAGAAAATGAAGTAAAAAATAAAGAATGAGAAAGACGTCCCTAATGAATTTGCAATTTGAAGGAGAAATAGATAGATAGATAGATAGATAGATAGAGAGAGAGAGAGAGAGAGAGAGAGAGAGAGAGAGAGAAACAGAGAGACGCGATTGAGATTGAAATTGAGATTGAGAGAGAGAGAGAGGGAGGGAAAGTAATTATATTTTCAAGAATTTCCTCCTTTACGTCATTATTATCATTTAAATTTCTTAGAAAGAAGGGACCGACTCCGTTGATATACTTCCTCAACGTTGACTAAAGTTCTTTATCGAAAGATATAGAAAACAAGGCTACCATCTACTTTTTATTTTACTTTTTTTGGTCTTTCTTTTCTGCTGTTCTTTTTTCTCCTTGTTTTTTTCTTTTTCTTTTTTTTTTTTATTTCCTTTTTCCGTCTCCTTTTACTGCTTCAGGGAGATAAAATACCGATTTAACTTTGTGAATCGAAATTTTTTCCTTAAAGCTATTTTTCGAGGAAGAGACACTTAAATTCATATCGAAGACTTACGGACTCTACATTAGGAAACTTTTACGAAACTTTCCGAGTTTTACCGTCTATTGTCCCAGCATAAATTCACGGGTCAAGAGATCATTTGAATCAACTGATAGATAAGTAAAGAGAATAATCTCGTCATAAGACAATTTTCGAGATAATATAACATAGTTTTTTTTTTTTAATAATCAATACGATATTATTCAATGTATTAATAATCATTTATTTATTCATTTCGATAAAATGAATTATTCGATTTTTCTTTGACGATGAGTTTTATATATCGGAAATTTTATTATTTACAAAAACCGATCAATTTTATTGGGTCATGCATGACATTTATTTCCTGAGAAAAAAGAAGATATTTCTTGTCTGACAAGATAGAACAGTGTCATCTATAGTTTCTCGATAAATCGATTCGTTATCGGAACATTCGCACTGTCTCGAATGGACCGAATGGAATCGAACGTTACGATGATTTACGTTTTCACCGAGTCTACTGCAAAATTTCTCGTTTTTTCTTCTGGAGCAAATAGGCTCGAAGAATTTGTCATGATAACGAATGTAAGACTCGTAATCTGTATCAATGAAAGGACAAAGATCTTCGGTTTTTTTTATTTTTTATAGATCTGAAAATTTTTTTAAAGATAAATTAAATTAACGTATTCAAAAAATGCATGGAATGTGTGAGCGCGAACGCTCAAGAGAGACAGAAAGAGAGAAGAGAGAGAGAGAGAGAGAGAGAGAGAGAGAGAGAGAGGGAGAGAATCACGTAAAAATTAGAAACGAAAATAATTTATTGGAATGTCGGGAGAGGTACATATAAATCACAAAATACCTTTTCTTTTTTCGAAGTTATCTCGAGTTCGAAATATTCAGACTTTACGTTGAATTTGCGTTTTGCTGCTGCACGAATGAGTAATAGTTCCGCACGAGAACGTTAAACTATTTGTAACAATATTTTACCGTTCTCGTTATTTCGTCAGAAGTTTGACAGTAAAAAACTAAAAAAGACATTTTTCTATATCGTTTAAATCATTTTTTAGAATACTATATGAATATAAAGATTTTTTCTTATCAGTTTATTTTTATATCAAATGTAAGACCAATACGAAACGTTTCTCGGTTCATTGGACATTCAACGACCATGATAGAAAGAGAGAGAGGTAGAGAAATAGAGAGAGAAATAGAGAGAGAAAGAGAGAGAAAGAGAGAGAAAGAGAGAGAAAGAGAGGGAGAAAGAGAGAAAGATATAAAGAGAATTTACAACAACGATGAGTATTATTTTAGTATGAGCTAATTCGAAACTTTTACTGCTAGTCACTTGTCACTTGTGTCGTGAGATATGTATGTGACGAAGTTACGTGATGAAATTAGTTTCTATAACACATGTTGCGTTCTATAATTAAATCATGAATGAACAAAAGCAAAAAGAAAAATAATATTAACCCTTTGAGTGCTATGAACCCATATATGCGTTTTAGCGAAAACGATCGCTGTGGACTATGGACACATATGTGCGTTTATCAATTCTGTCGACTTCTCTCGCATTTGAGATAATTTCAAGTTAAGATATGATTAAACATTTTAATGTTTTGAATGAAATAATTAATTAATTCTTGTATCGTTTAAATAGTTGCATTTTGCGTATTTAATCAGCAGAATTAACATTAGCGAAAAAAATATTCCGTCTCCAGCGATCGAAATCCGCTAGGTGTGTGCCGTCCACACAGATTATATGTGCCGGGAGTATTCAGCACTCAAAGGGTTAATAATAATAATAAATAATAATAAAAGGTACGCACAAAATATCCAGTATTTTTAACTTTAAACATTATTAATTCCTTTCAGTAAAACATCAAGCAAAGTAACGTGTTGACGTTTCTCAGAATCTTTCGAAGGTTGTTTGTAAAGTAGAGAACATAAAAACACACGTAAGATTCTATCGAAGACTCAACGACGTGATCCAAGATCAAAGCTTCGTCCCTCGAAGAAAAGAGGGAGGGAGGGAGAGAGAGAGAGAGAGAGAGAGAAAGAGAGCAAGTTTGTCTTTTGAACACGTTCGTTCCTTTTTTAGCACATTATCGATGTTCCTTCGATTGCTAGCACGGTACTAAACTGAAATCGAGATAGTCCGCTCGGGTGAACGCAATCGCGTAGAAAGCGGATCGTAAAACGATTTTCCTACTATGTTCTTATGTAGATGACATTTCTCGAGCCTGGCTAGCCTTAAAACTTTTAACGTTTCAAACAAGTTACGTAATCGAAAACAGACACGAGAATCTTTAAAGATTCTGTAATCTTCTAGAGGAATCTATTTAATTTCTGACTGAATTTAACTCCCTTCAGGAATAATAATTTCTTTTCGAGTGTTTTTTTTCTTTTCTTTTCTTTTCTTTTTATTCAATTTTTTCTTCTATCTCTTTATTTTATTATTATTATTATTATTATTATTATTATTATTATTGTTATAATTACCATTATTACTATTATTATTACTAATATTATTATTATTATTATTATTATTATTATTATTATTATTATTATTATTATTATTATTATTATTATTATTTATTTTATTCTGATTAAACTTACCCTCGAGAACTCTGACACATTCCGTATGATTCGGATAAGGATTCGGATAATTCGGACTGTAGAATTCTCTCTTAGCTTCGTCGCCGATTAGAAATTTCTCGCATTTGTCTGCGGCGTGTCTCATTTGACGACGTCGAAATATGTCGTCCCTTGACGATGATAATAGCATCGACGTGGTTGTCGTCCTGGAGAATATTTCTGTTGATATTCCTCGACTCTCCGTAGTTGGGACTATCTGTAGAAATTTATGAAAAAACGTTTCGATAATAAAAATTTTGAAGGGGAAAATAAAAGATGTAGAATTATTTTGACGTGTGTATTAATTAATTCATTAATTGATTTAATTGTCAACTGGGAAAGAGATTGGAATAGAGTATTTCATGATTAATCAAAGATCGAGAATCGCCAGTATGCTTTTACCATTACATTATGTAAAATCTATCGAATGGATGAACTTGCAATCTACCAATATACGAATGTCAGGTCATTAATTAAACTCGAATTGGAGGAAGCTATGTACGATAGGTATATCGATAGTGTTAAATTATAGATATTACCATGAGTTTGCCTTATTGGTAACGGTTATAGCTCGATATTGTCGAGCCTCAGGTGCAGCACAATATATATATATATATATATATATATATATATATATATATATATATGTATATATGTATATATATATATGTATATATATATATATATATATATATATATATATATATATATATACATGTATATGTTATACACACGCGTGTATCTATAATAGCTATTATGTATTGCCAAATGATTATTTAGTAGAAGATGTTTGAGTATTTTATTCTTGAATATTTTTAATGAATTTTACGTGCAACATTTAAACTCAAGAAGACACGTGTCTATTTTTCTTTCCTATTTACTTTATTTTTTTGTTATTTCTTAGATCAGTCATGAGAGAAGGAATAAAGAATGTCCAATAACACGTATACAGCCTACTATTGAGAGACTTCGAAAGCTTATATGCAGCTTTATTTACACGAATAAAAGTCATTCGATAAGAGTTTAAGATTTACGAGAGTACATCGATATCAACTTTCAAGAACTCTTTCAACTATTTCATTTTTCAATCGCGCTTGAACGTTTTATGGAAATGGCAAATTTTTCTTTGCGAACTCTTGACTCGAACGAACTTTTCTATTTATTCCCCTGTCGACCATTTATTATTATTTTCTTATTTTGTATTATTCATTAACGAATATACTTGTCATGAGAAGAGATAGTAATTTATTTTTTTCTTCTTTTTCTTTTTATTTTTCTTTTTCTTTTTCTTTATAACGAATATATTCATTATGCAAAAAAGTAATTAGCTTTTACCATTTGAATTAGAATTTTAGTGGAAACTAAAGAATATTCGTAAATTTATTTCAATAAAATTTATTTAACATCGTCAATCATAATATTAAAAGAAATTATGCTATTGATGAATTACTGTAACACGATATCACATGAATATTTAAGTAATTTTTTATACTTTTATTTTTTATTTTACTATTATATATAGTAATAAGGTGATAATATACTAATGTATAATGCTAATGTATAAAAAATAAAAACTAAAAGCGAACTTACGTCGGCAATCGTAGAAATGATCGGGATGTTTTTCGAAATTTTTGACGTTTCTTTTATCGATATTCTAGAAACGTCGAAATTTTTGGATGATTCGGTGACAGAATATTCGGGACGATTTTTCAAAGACGAGAAAGAGCTCGATTCATTCGAAAGGTAATTTTGGATTGTCGTTTGCGTCTTTTCCGAATTTTCCTCTAGCATCATCCTCGAAGATCCATGAGCCAATCCGAATGTTTGTGTGCTATCGTCGTTGCTCCAGGGTGTCGTTTTAAAAATTCTATGGAGAGTTCTTTCAGAGGATGACGAAATCGACATTGAGGACGAGGACATCGATGAAGATGATGATAAGATGGAACGTGACGATCTATTTGTAGATCTACTTCGTCCGTGAACGTAAAAAGTGGAATCTTTTCTCTCCTGCGTCGACTCTGCGGATGCTCCGGCAACTAAAACATATAAAAAATTTTTTTATGTATTTAAAAAGAATCTAAAAATTAATCAGATAGATCGTTATTAATTATATATAAAAATTATCATTATAATTTGACATTTATTATAACGACTAAATGTTTTATATTTCTAATTAATTAGCTGTTCATATTTGAAAAGATTCAAAAACATTATCGTACGATAATTTTTATTTAGAATTTCTGTCTCCTCAAGTATTATATTTATTTTTTGCATTATGCTGGACTGCTCGATATTTTACATATAATCTGTTATTCAACTTAAGCTGCTTAAGTTCGAAACAGAAAGCAATATACGATTGTTAATTTGAAATGAAGGTAAGAGGACGAAGAATACGATTCACAATATTTCAGACCGCGTTGTCCGATCCCATTAGGGATGCAAGATTTCCCCTTGGCTAAGCTGTTTGAAAAGCTTCTTGGCCACTGACAAATCTCAAAATTGAAAAAGAGAGAAGGAGAAAAAGAAAAGAGAAAGAAGAAGGAAAAATTATATTAAATTCATCCTTGAAAAATTAATATTTCAATTTTATATTGTATTATTTATTTTTGTTCGTTTGAATTATTTGAAAAAATTACTTATACTATTTCATTGTCTCTTTTCACACTATTTAAGATACTGATGTTCTTATATGAATGTCTAATAATTTTATATAGTTTATATATATATATATATATATATATATATATATATATATATATATATATATATTGAAATAAAATGCAAATTTTGTGGAGATTATTATTTATTAAGACAATAATTGCGATATTTATAGTTTAAATCACGTAAAAATTCTACGAATGGAAACAAATTTGATTAATTTCTGATTATCTTGTCACATTCCTTCAATCTTTTCCTTTCTATTTTCTTTCTCTTTCTATTTTTATTATATTATTTATTTTATCGTTAATCCATTTTTTGTCTTTTCTTCAATAGTTTTTCATTCGTAATGTTTCGTAGAAACACGCACATGGCAAATCCAGTTTCGTGTATGGCCGACGTAAAAGCGAATTGAATTTTGAGCAATTTTCAGAGAAATTTCGTCGTACGTGGACGTGGATGGACATGTTCATGTTTTTCCCTATAAAACTTTTATTCTCAAAGCAAATCCTAGAGATTTTTCTGCCTGTATATATTCTCCCTTTACTATTTTAAAATATTTATATTCGATCGCGAATAATTTCGACGATGATTTACAATTGTTCTTAATTTTTCGATCGCATCACCGATTTTATTTCAAATAAAAAAAGTTCGCATTATTGAACACCTGGAGGATGTGAGATAATTCTTCAAAATATTGCCTGTGTATGTGTTCAAATCGGTATCACATTCGATACGAATTTTCACGTCTCTTTCGCTATTGCTTGGGGATAGATTGAATATGATAAAAAAGAAAAAAAAAGAAAAAAAAAAGAAAAAAAAGAAAAAAAAAAGAAAAAAAAAAGTAAAAACAATTCTGTGCTGTTGAACCGATGAAACTTTTGTCAGTACATTTTTCTCAGCATTGTTGGTTTTACCGGGGGTGATAAAAGTTCCTGAAAAATACGTTGCGTGTTAAGCGAAACACAGAAAGAGAGAAAAAGAAAAACTGTATTGGTCGTTGAAAATATGATTTTTGTTTCTTTTTTCTTATTTTTCTTTTAATCATCAGATTGGATGCGATACGTTCAAAGACTCGATGTTATATATTGTTTATAATGTTTTTTAATTAATCGTTTTGTTTTTTACAGGTAATACAAATATTGTCATTTTGTCAGTCTCATTTCGTAAAACAAATAACCGAGTTAACATTTCATTTATGAAATATCCTAATAAAAACGTAAATATAGATACGTGTATGACTATAAAGCTTTTATTGGCATGTAATTCGTCAAATTCCAATAAATTTTTTTGGTAATAAACTTTCATTAACCAAAATTCCTATTTCTTTGGATACGTCTATTGAATATTTCTATTGAAATACGACATTTCTATCCAATTTTTGTACACCATTCGCAAGATAATAGAATGTGAATTATTAATCATTTAATCTGAATAGATCTTATATACCTTTAATAATACAGACAAACATTTCGTAATATAAAGGAATTTTTTTGGTTTATCTCTTTTTTTTTTTTTTTTTTTTTTTTTTTTTTTTTTTTTTTTTTTTTTTTTTTTTTTTTTTGAAAAGAGATTGCATTCTCTAGAATAATTTGCTAGAGTATTTTCATATACTCGTAACTTTTTAAACTTCTCATCATAAATTCACGTCCTGTAACTTTAAAGTTTATTACGATAGATCGATCGTACTTATTCGGTAGAACTGGACATTATTATTCTTACATAAAAATTTGATCGACGATATCAACGAAGATAGAACGAACTTTATTTCTAGCGATAGAAATTGTTTCTCACAAATGAAATATTAAAAAATGAACGTGGAATAAGAGACACAAATCACATATATTACATTTTCCCATTTCTTTCGAAGGCGATAACTTTATTTAATTTTCAAAGGCGACGATTCGTCGTTTAATATATCAAAAGATTACTTTCTTCAATTTTAAGTCGAGTAGCCTTTGATGTCGAGGATCTTGGATCTTTCTAAGAATCAGATGAAACGTGAAGAGAGAAGAAGAAGAAGAAGAAGAAGAAAAAGAAGAAGAAGAAGAAGAAGAAGAACAAGAACAAGAAGAACAAGAAGAATAAGAAGAACAAGAAAAAGAAGATGAAAAAAAAAAGAAGAAAAAGAAGTAGTAGTAAAAGTGGAAGGGAGTTAAGAACGTTGGTAAAGACGAGAGGGAAGACTCGTCTCGAACTTTTGAATTGGAGCCTTATGAAAGTTTCCTCTTCAATTTTAGCTTATGCTCTTCTCGTCTTCGGTACGTGAACCACTTTTTGCAGGGTGTTCACTCAGAGAAAAAAAAAAAGTAAAAAAAAATAAAAAAGAACTATCGAGAGCAAACTTTTGGGCTAATATTTCTTGATAACTTCTTTAGACACCTGAAGCTATGCTAAGTGACGATAACACGAATAATCCGAAGTCTTAAAAAAAAAAAAAAAAAAAAAAAAGAAGAAAAGGAAGAAGAAAGGACGAACGAATTATTATTATCAGAAAAGTATCGATGCTTCATTTGAGTTGGAAATAAAAATATATGATATAACAATGTTTATAAAAATCTTTCGGTTTATTTTACCTTTTACATTGATTTTCTTAGGGTAGGTTAGTGATGAAGTGATGTTAGTTAGGATAGCCAGTCACGATTCTAAATTTGCTGGAGTTTTTTCTGAATAAGAAGAAGAAGTAGGTATTTTCAGATAGCAAACAGTTATCTTACTTGAGATGCAAGTCATGTTTAGACAGCTAGTTTCTGAGGCCACTAACGATACCGAAGATTTACATTCGTACTCTAGAAACAAATCAAATCTCGGTCTAGCTAGCCATTTGAATTCACCTACATAAGTTGGTATCTAACCTTGTGTATATCTATCTCTTTACTCTCTACTCTCTACTCTCTACTCTCTACTCCTTCTCTCTCTCTCTCTCTCTGTCCTTCTCTCTCTCTCTCTCTCTCTCTCTCTCTCTTTCTGTCCTTCTCTCTCTCTCTCTCTCTCTCTGCCGTTTTCCTTTGCTTTTCGTAACGTCGATAGTATAACTTTAGCCATTCCTCTCATTTCTTTTGTATTTTCCAATAAATTTTCTATTCTTCTTCTCTTTACGAAAGTATGAAATTTTTCCTTATAATAGTTGCTCTATGAAAATTTTATCTCATTTTACTTGTGATATTGTAATTTCTTCGAAAAGTTCTTTCTTATTTATCTCCTACTTGCCTATGTATCTATCTATATCTATTTATATATGTATATATATATATATATGTGTGTGTGTGTGTGTGTGTGTGTGTTGTTTTTTAAGCTTTAATTTCAACTTCTTTTTGTACGAATCGTAGTTCGAAAAATATGATCACGATAAATGCGTTATTTGTCATTTTTTTGGATTATCTATTCTTCTGTGTCGTTTTGTGGAAAAAAAGTATGATTCTCAATATACGTTTTCGATCAATAGGAATTAATTGATCGAATGCTTTAAATTACACATCTATTTGTTTCATTGAAAACGTATAGAACAAATCGCGTCACGCTGTAGGCCATTTCGCATTTATCATTCTCACGTTGTTCGTACCAACACGTCCATTCATTGCCACACCTTTTACTCATCTGTCAATCTAACGTAATTCCATTTTCCTTTTACATTCTTTTTCTTCTTTTTCAAGGATTTCTTTATTTTCTTCGCACGTAGTTGCACTTTCATTGAGGCTACGAGAGAAAACTTCTAGATCGATCGATAGTAATTACAACTTAGAGAAAATTTTATTTCAGAACCTTTTTTCTTTTTATCTTAATTTAGAAGAAAATGGAAAAAGAGAATGGAAGATGTAACCGTTTGTCTCTTTATTTTTAATAAAAGTCCTTGCTACGTTTATGACGATATAAAAACTTACGTAAGAAAAATCTGAACTGTAAGTTCTTACGTTTCACTTATTACTGTAATATATAAAGTTAATACCTTCATTATCGTTATTATTATATTATACTATATTATCACTATTATCATTATTATTATAAAATGTAAGTACGATCGTATGGTGTAATTCGATTAATTTTCTAACGTCCCATCCCAACATCTCTCAATGGTCACAACCTTTCCTTCCATAGATTAATCTTTCCTCAAATACTTTTCCTACTTTCTTTTTCCGCAAAATCCTAATCATCCTAATCATATCCAATTAAACCTAAAATATCATAATAAATCAATATTAATAGTTATTATTATCAATCATATTTAATGACTCCAAAACAACAAAACTTATATAAAACTTTTTATTCATTTTTTGTTGGATTAAAAAAAAAAAACTTTTAAATTCAACAAAATCTACTTCCAACTCATTATTTCATTATTTCAACTTCATTATTTCATATTAATTCGTAAAACGAGATA